CAGTCTCAGGGTCCTTTTGACAAGTAAGATCGTTAACTGTATTTAAAACCTTCCATTATTCAACATGTGGTCAGCGGGGCTCTCATTGAGCAAATTAAGACATTGAATTGTTTTGTCTTGTCGTGTGGAATAGCGCTTAATTTCTGTATACATGATCAGTTCTACAGCGTTGTAAGTTCAGTTTACTAGAAGAGCGGGTGAGGCGACTGCTGATGCTCTCTCTTATGGGTGGAAGGAAGGTTCTGTACAGTTTGGATGTCAGTAGAGACTTGGCAAACTTCAGTGTTAAAGTTCGATCGACGTGTGTGGAGTGTTGGCAAGTCGAGAAGAGCGCACGCTTCTGCACTAGTCGGTTCCCAGAATATTAAAGTTCAAGACTTCGTGCATTTTTTTTCAAATTCCAACAATAAGAACGTTAATTTTTCTGTTTTGCTGCAGTGTTCTTCACATGTAGTGTCTTCCCTGGTGACGAAACAAAATGACCAATCATCATCATCGATATTGTGCCCTGCTGTTGGTTACTGTATCATCCGTTCTTATTATGCTGTATTACACATCTGTACACGTAATCCCTGGTGATCACTTGCCGTGGAAACCACCAGAATCCCGCATTTATATGCATACTAACAGGTGGGCAACATCACGTAGCCTCTACCAGGCTTCGGGAGGTGGCTGGAAAGAGTAGAAATCGGCCAAATAGAGAGATAACATGCCGATGGAGTTGGTCCGCTACAGAGTACTGTACCCTAGTGCGGCAAACTGTACTCTCTAGCAGACCAACTCCGGCATGTTATCTCTCTATTTGGCCGATTTTTACTCTACCGAAGCCTGATAGAGCCTTAACATCACAAACTTAGACCTGGAACTGTGTTTCATGGCTTGTTGTTTTAGGGGGGAGGGGGGTGATCAAAGAACATTAATCGTTTTTTTTACAAGTAGATTAAAGTTCGTAAATTTAAAACCAGGCGTACAGGGCGCTGCATTTGTTTTACTTTTAAGATGAGGGGGTAAAAGTCACGACATCTTAACTCTACGATAGAATTAATCAAAGTTGGTTCCTAGTTTCTATTATGTGCTTCCTCTGACGAAACCTTGTATCCTGAACCCAGTGTCACAGATGATAGATAGAAACATGAGAAATCTGTTTCTAGAAATAGAATAAAGTGTTCGTTTCCCTATATATAGGTCCTCCATTGAGGTCGAAGAAGCAGACAATCAACTTGGCAGTAATGTATCTACATCAGGAGGACTGACGAATTCATCAGTGGAAAAGCCAAAAGAAAGGGAAACAAGGTGTGTGCAAGAAACATATCATAACATAACATAACATAGCATAACATAACATAACATAACATAACATAACATAACATAACATAACATATGAAACCTTGTATCCTGAAGCCATCTTTACAGATGATAGATAGAAACAATGTGAGAAATCTGTTTCTCGAAATTGAACAAAGTGAAGTTTTCCTAGGTCCTCCATTGAGGTCGAAGAAGCAGAGTCAGTGACTACAATGATGGACTTGGCAGTAATATATCTACATCAGGAGGACTGACAAACTCATCAGTGGAAAAGCCAAAAGCTATGGAAACAAGGTGTGTGCGAGAAACACATAACATAACATAACATAACATAACATAACATAACATAACATAACATAACATAACATAACATTAACATAACATAACATAACATAACATAACATAACATAACATAACATAACATAACATAACATAACATAACATAACATAACATAACATAAACTTTATAATATAACATAACATATAACATTGAAAAGTTGTTTCTGAATACAAAAGAGAAAGACTCGTGCCAAACCTTCAAATTAAACTCTCTGGGATTATGCCAAATTTCATTGAAAACGAATAACCTTAATTAACTTTCCTTGAGAGCCAACTTATTGTAACCGTTAATTACTCCAAGACTAGCCTGGACACCATCCTATTTAATTTGTATGCCGGGGCTCCCATACTCCCCCCTAAGTGGGAGCCCCGGCATACAAATGGTACCCAGGCTACTCCAAGACATGCACATGATCCTGGTCTTAGGATTCTTTCGATTCTCAAGTCCATTACAGAAGTTCCATTATTACGCTCGACAAATACCGGAGGAGTCGGTCGCTGAGAAGAAGTTCCTTGCCGACCAGGCAGCTGTGCAGTCCGTACCGACGGAAGCACCTGGATGGGTCTATAACAAAACAGGTGCGGACCTGTTTCGGTAAGAATCATCTTCCCGATATTAGGCCGCGTTGATTTGATTATAAGGATGACACCCGCTTGAATTTTCGTCCGTTTCCAAAAAAAAGTTTTTGACCATACTGTAAAACACACAAGGCACCTGCAACTTGAATGAGCAAATATATGCCGTACATTGCAAAAATAATATTGGAAAACGATACTAATGTCGTTGAATGCAAAATCGATTCCAAAGGAAAGAAAAAAAATGCTCAGGGTTAAATAATAAATGCATTGCCATGTCTATGCGGCACATGTGTAACAATGAACAATTATACATATAGACAATGCGATTTACAAAATGCTTAACATACCACCGACAATGTTTAAATACGTTCAAAGCAGTATTTCATGACCAATGACATGTATTTTTCACAGGAAAAGACTTGTAGGTGACAGTCGCTTTGCGAACGGGAATTTTCTTGTCACACAACAGACAGTTAATAAGTCCGGCCTAATGACTCATAGTGAAAATCATGGCAACATCAGTGTGCCAGAAAAAGTCTTCAATGGATTTCCCAAAGTAGGTTTGGAAACTTGTTTTCCTTCTTTACATTCGAGGAAAATTGTGTACTCGCTTTAAGAAATAAAACCTATAAATCAGCACTTGGTCTGTCTATGTTCAAGGTACTTTTCGGGATTAAACTTTCAATTCAACATAAGGAACACATTTCTAGGATATTTCAAGTGATTTAGTGTTTTATAACAGCGAATTTTCCCTCTGGACAAGACTTATCTGACCATTATAAATAGCACCTGGTTAAAGTTTATACAGTCTCTGTTGAGTAAAGACCGCTGATCCATATACACTGTACTATCATAGTCTCCGACTATCTTAAGTCTAATGCTGCTCAATGTCAAAGCTCCAGTCTGGTATCCAAACTACCGAGTCTCTTTCGCCCTCTCCCACGTTATGTAGAAGTGGGTAATCTTCAAGCAGATCATACGGTGGCAAAGCTGTCTCCATTGGCCAATTGACTCCTCCGGTGGCTAATGGACACTCCTCTGGCCAATGGATACTGCCTTGCCACCGCATGATCTGCTTGGAGATTAAAAATGGGAGCTTCAATTCGTCATAACGAAAGAGACATAATAAGGATAATAATAAGGATAATAATTTACAACTTTTCTACTCAGGAAAGCCCGTTTAAGAACAAACACTTCAATACTTGCAGTGTGGTGGGAAACGGTGGAATACTGAAGGGAAGCGGCTGTGGAAAAGAGATAGACGCCTCTGAGTTTGTGTTCAGGTGAGGCACAATGATATGTACAAGTCGATTTAACAGTATATTTTCTTGAGAAATATCTTTATATATAAATTTATCTATAGTTCTGTGCCCAATGTGCCCCTTGAAAGGACTTGATGAAGAGTATTAGATGGTTGTGGTGACGATTTCCTTGTTTGAAATATTAGTTTTTACAATTTTTACATTTTTCAACAATCTGCTGTATAATGTTAATACATGAAGCAATGTAAGTTTTATTTCTTCTTTCTCATAACTTGCAGGTTCAACATGGCTCCCTTCACCTTCACCTTGTCCCTTCCTCTTCTGGAGGGTCGGGGACTGTGGTAGCATTCAGCACAAGCTTCCTCCATCCATCTCTGTCCTTGGCCATCTGTGTGCAGTCAGCCAGGGACCTGCCTGTCCAATCTCTGATGTCGTCTACCCATCTCCTTCGCGGCCTCCCTCTGCTCCTGCTACCACAGATCCGTCCTTGCAGGATGTGAGTTGAGATGTTCTGTGCTCTCGACACATGTCCGAAGTACTGTAGTTTCCTCCTT